CGGGAAGAAGTGAGCAAAACCACAACTTTTGATTCAATAAGGTTTCCATTTGGTGCTGCAAATACAGCCCTACTACCCTAATTCCCACCAGTAGGTTTACAAGAACTACAGGTAGGCATCGAGTCTCAATCCTTCAGGAGCAGTTCTACATGTGGAAACCAAAATCAATGGGCTGGGGATGTGGCTCAAGCGGTAGCGCACTCGCCTGGCATGCGTGTGGCCTGGGTTCGATCCTCAGCACCACATACAAAGATGTTATGTCCGCCAATAACTAAAAAATAAATATTAAAAAAATTCTTAAAAGAAAAATTCTCTTTCTCTCCCTCTCTCTTAAAAAAAAAAAATCAAAACCACTGTTTTATGCTCAAGTACTTAACAATTTGTGAAGATGGGCTGTTTTTTAATACCAAGGATTGAACCTGGGTGCTTAAACACTGAGCCACATCCCCAACCCTTTTTTAGATAGGTTCTAAGTTGCTTAAGGCCTCACAAAGTGACTGAGGCTGGCTTTGAACTCACAATCCTCCTGCCCCAATTACTAGGATCCCTACTACGTCCTCACAGCCGCTGATTTGATGGATTAGCTTTCAATGGTGCAAAAGTGATGTAATTTCCAGAAACTACTTTGACTCGGGTCTGTCCTCAGCCTGGTCAAACAGTCTCAATATCCTAGGCAGGGGCAGCCTCAGATTCCAGCCAGCCCTGTGGTCAGGAGAGGACGAGACACTGCAGGGCACTGCTGCTGACCGAGGACCTGCCAGGCCCAACTACCTACACTTGGTGGGTCTATCCACACCCCAAGTCCAGGGGCACCTGGGCTTCAACACCAGCAGAACTACTGGCCAAGATCTACTGAAGGATAAAACACAGCCCCTCCATGGCCTGGGGATGGAGCTCAGGGGTAGAGCACTTGCTAGCATGTGAGGCCCTGTGCTCGCTCACCAGTGCTGCAAAAACCACCACCGTGTGCTCTCATTTACTCTATTATCAAGAACTCTGTGAAGTGAGAACACACAAGGAATGTGAGGTCCTGGCCACAGCAGTCATCAGCCCCTTGGTGCACCCCTGGATTCTAACCCAGTCCCAGCTTTGTTGCAAGTCACATCCTCCTCTCCCTTGAAAGTTTAAACACACTTCACAGACCTTTTCCATTTCCCTGCTTGTCTTCTAAGTTGCTGGGATCACAGATGTGGCCACTATGCCCAGCTACCTTGGAGTCCTTTTAAGTACAGAGGGTCTGGAAACTGGTGTCCTACTGACACCAGTGCACTTAAGCCTGGGGCACCAACTGAAGCAGTGGAGGCAAAATGCCATGTTTTATCTTTGGGTCATATCTTGAAATACCCTTCTAGCTTTGCACTGGAGACAACCAGCATCACTTCTGCAAACTGACAAGTTATTCTGCCAGATGTGTGTTTAGCTTTTATTTGCATGTATCACATTGGTCCATCCCCATTACTAATCAAGTAATGCTACCAGAGTGCCCCTCAAGCAGACATACCACCCACACAGAGGCTGTCCTGCACTTGAGCCATTCCCACTGTGGAAAAGGAGCCCTACCAGAGCTGTGCATTCCTGTATCAGAAAGGATGCCACTGCAGACCCCAGCTTCACACCAACCTCCACAGTGAACTTCATGGAGATGTCCTTCCTCTCCTGACCACAAGAGTTGGGAGGAACTTAGAAGCCCACAAAGGTGGCCTCATCCCAAGGGGTGACCACAGGAGGCGAGTCTCCTACACAAAGTCCCAGAAGCAAGGCACAGTGGTGCACATCTGTAATCTCAGTGACTTGGGAGGCAGGGGTAGGATCAAAAGCTATAGGTCAGTCTCAACAACTAAGTGAGCAAGTTAGCAAGATCCTGTCTCCTTGAGCTGGGGTGTGGCTTACTGGCATGTGGCAGAGTGCTTGCCTGGCGTGAGAGGCCCTGGGCTCGATCCTTAGCACCAAGTATAACTAAATGAAGGTACCTGTCCATCTACAAGTACAAAGGAAAAAAAAGCAGCTGGGACTGTAAGTGGCTAAAAGTGGATAAGCGCCCTACTTCAACAATCCCTAGTAACCCCCACCCACTCCCCAAAAACAAACAAAACAAAAAAAGGTTCCCAAGGTGAATACTTCACTAAGCTCCAAAAGTGTCCACGAGCTTCCCCAGCTCTACCACCCCGCAATCCATGAAGAGCCCACATATAGCCAGGTATGGTGGCACGTATCTACAATCCCAGTTATTTGGGAGGCTAAGGCAGGACTGCAAATCTGAGGCCAGCCTCAGCAGCAACTTAATAAGACCCTGCCCCAAAATAAAATAGGCTGTTTGTGAAGTAGCTCAATCCCTAGACCTGTAGGGGGAGGAAAGCACATGTGTAGCATCTTCTGGACTAACTGACCTGTGGAGGAGATTCCGAATCCTGGTGGTGCTGCAGCTCCCTTTGAACCACTAGGCACATGCATCTCTCCCTCACCAGGTCCCCAGTGAACCTGCTGCTGAAGCTAGCCTTGGTCCTTGTAAAGTGTGCTAAGTGATATTCCACCTAGGAGCCCAGGCCAGTTGGTTCCTACATGAAAGAGCTGAATTCGTTAACAATCAAGTTAGTGTGAACATGTGCATTACCTGTTTTTATTTCTCTCATTGAACACAGGAGTTTCAAAAATGAATGCTGCCAGTTGAAGACAATTTTCAAAAGCAGAGGATCTCAGGAAAAGATTAATGGCACACTTGTGTTTAAGTAATAAAAACCTTGAGCTTTTCCCAGAGTTGAGGGAAACACCCAGAACTAAAAGGAGATTCTCAGAAAGGGGCTTATGCTTCTTAGTGAGGCTGAGAGAGAAAAAAAAAAAAGGGACAGCGCTCTCACCAAATGACTTCTTCAGGGTGGTGCTCGTCCAAGACAGCCTGGCCACCTCCTCATCCAAGTATGTGGGTAGAGGAGAGAGAGAAAACATTGAAAACCCCTATCGACAGTTCTCCTAATGCAGATTCCTTGCTTCTGAGCAAGGAGAAGCACCAGATGTGCTCTGAGACCCTTGGTGGGTCTTCTGCCTGGAGGCTCCCAGGACCATACACTCCATATGCCCAAATGCTCCACAGGCCAGGCAGTGGTACCAGCAGGAAATACCCATATTTCACCCAGTATTGCCACCAACAGCCTTTCAACTAGCTGGAAGAGAAGAGAGCAGGGAGGGCAGAAGATACAGTGATTACCAGGATTTACATTCTGTAGAACTTCCAGGACCCTCCCAGCTACAAAAAACATTTTCAGTTTATTAAATACTATTTTTTGTTGCTGTTTTTGACATAGGAACTGGCTATGTTGCCAATGCTGGCCCCAAACTCCTGCATTTAAGCACTCCTCCTACCCCTGCCTCCCGAGTAGCTGGGAACACAGGTATATGCCAGCACACCCAGTTTCACTTTTCAGTTTATTAAATACTCTAATACCAATATAAAGATAAGAAGTTTTCTGTTTGATACTTATATTCATTTCCTTAGAATATGTTTGTGCTCCATTCTGAGAATTAAAAAGCATAACAAAAGAAGGTCCAGATATTTAAAGGCACTGAGGATCAAACCCAGCACACATGCCCAGTAGGCACTCATCCACTAAGCTACATCCACAGTTCCGGGAAATTTTGAATCAGCCTGGAGGTTCACAAGATGCTCTGGTCAAAAACCAGGCCAGGCTAGGCGCAATGGCAGTCGCCTATGATCCAAGTGACTCAGGAGACTAAGGCAGGAGGATCGTGAGTTCAAAGCCAGGCTCAGCAATTCAGTAAAGTCCTAAAGCAACTCAGCAAGACCCTCTCTAAATCAATATAAAAAAAGGACTGGGAGGGCTGGGGTCGTGGCTCAGTGGAAGAGCACTTGCCTCGCACTTGTGAGGTACTGGATTTGATCCTCAGCATCACATAAAA